ATCCAGGTCCTGAGCTTGTCGCGCTTATGCGACGCGTTGCCGCTGCGAAGCCGGGGTTTGTGAGCGCGTGCGAGGCCGCCAATTTCCAACGGGTTCACTCTAGGCTCAACAAGGGTAACCAGACATACTTTTTGCTTGAAGGCATTGAGGCCGCACATATGCGGGCTTTCGTTGGGGCACTTCTTGTGCGTGCAAAGCCAACCTCGTTAGTTTTCACTCATGATGGGCTGCTTGTCTCACCTGAGCCATCCCTTGCTGATCTTGACGCATGTTTGCATGAAGCTTCTCTTGCCCTTGGCTTTGTCCCCGTTTTTCGGGTTCGGGCTGCCAATCTTGTGCATGCCGCAGTAGACACCAGAGGCCGATCACTAGCCATGTCAAGGGTCAGGCCCAGGTTGTTAATGTGCCAGGTAGGCCCAAGGCCCGCAGGCTTGCCCAGTCGCCGCTCTCATAACTGACAAGGGCGAGGCCTGTTTACACCCTGATTTGGTTATTGCGCGGTTTGTCTCAGTGCCAGCCCCGCTGTGCCTGAGCGTTCCGTTGCTTGCATCCAATCTGCCGCCTTTTTGTCTGTTGCGCTTTGTTGACAATTAAGGTGTGTCGGGGTGTAGGCCAAGTGCTCGGCGTGGCAGATTCCGTTCCTCTCACACTCGCTGAGTATGCCGCTCTCACCAATGAGAAGTGATCATTGACTTGGGGAAATATTTCGCTATGGAAAAGGCCTATGACTTGCCTACAATCCTTTGGCAGGCTTTCACTGGCCTTGTGAATGCGCTGTGTCAGTGGAACCTTACCTTCGGTGGCTGGACCGTTTTCATGGCGCATCACCCCACTCAGGATCGGCAATCACCCAGGTTGGATTTGGCTGTCCGAGCCCAATCAGCAGGGCTTGCAGGAGCTTGACCCACAGCAGTCCAACATGGTCTACTACAAGCGTGAACGTGTTACTCCGGCAGGCTCGTTAAGACGTGCTTCGCCAGCGACCCCGCTTTCCAGTTGACCTGCTGTTGCCCCTTGCACCCTTGCAGTGACTGACGCCGTACTCTGCATGACGTTGACATTGAGGTTGCTAGTCTTACGCTGTATGACAATGCTTCCTTAGCTTCAAGTGAGGAGCTAGTGGACGCAGCGCTTTCCGACATGGCCCTCCCGGGACCGGACACGCCAATTGCCAAAGCTTCGCTTTGACTTCTCTGGCATAGATGTCGTGCGGTCTTGTCGTCAGGTGATTCTCGACCTCCAGCTCGGTCGGAGAGCCAAGAATCTTCTTGGATTGACCCTTTTCCGCCCAAGGTATCTACGGAGACCTTGACTGCCCGCTTGGAAGTTTTGCACCTCGACCAAGGTGCATGAGGAACAAGAAGCTTCAGGTCGGGCGCCCAAGCGGGCCTTCACAACCTCCTTTTTGAGGAACTTCCCGCACGACCTCTTGGCAACAGCATTGGTTTGTACCAGCTTCGCGGCATCCTTCATGTTCACACTATCGGCGTAGCATTGTTGAAAGGCGCGGATTTGAAGACTTTGAAGGAGTACGACCATGCTTTCCTTGCCAAGACTTCCCACCGCTACCCGGCAGATTCTGGTCTTCGCGGTCCTAATGCAGAGGAAATGGAGTACGCTGACCAGCAGCTATAGAAGGAAATAGGCGGGTTGTTTGGGCAAGGGTGGGCCCTTGACAAAGCCATTCATGAAGTGGTCCACATTCGAGCTTCGCTTTCTACCTTGCTCCAACCCCGACCTGCAATCCCTTACCCTCCTCCAACACAAGCAGGGCTGCACAGACAAAGAATGCAAGTTCCTTCACGTTTGCTGTGTTCAGGATATTTCCACGGGCATTGCGGGGGCAAGCGCTCTGCTGGCTCGCACAAGCAGACACTGCATTGACACCCCCCCCGGCCCTGGGGTGGGTGTGGCGAAGCCCAGGCTGGGGAGAGGGTTTTGCCTTCGCCCGCATTGCCGCTCAGGTCTTCAGGGGATCCCATACATCCTTTAGATGGGGCTATTGCGGAGGAGCGCCAGGAGGACACGCAGCCTCCGCTTTCAGCTTCAGATGCCACACCAGCGCAGAAGCTTCTATTCCTGCTTCGCCAGATGCGGTGCCGGTAAAGGCGCAAAAGTTTTGGTGGTGGATGTGCTAGCTGAGGAGGGCATTGATTTACACTGCAACCGCTCCTATGAACTCTTGCTTCGCCCATCTTTTTCTGGCAAGGTTCGATTTGGAGCTGCAGGACCACCCTGCCATGTTTACTCACGCCTCAGGTTACGGCCGGGAGGTCCGCCGGCCCTCCGAATTCCTTCGCATTTGAATGGGGTTCCAGGGTTAAACTTTTGACCAGTCACGTGTAGACGACAGCAGAGCCTTGTTGGAAAGATGGTTCAATCATTTTTGCTTCGCTCCTCGGCTGATTTGGTTGACATTGCCGCATGCTCCGTGGGCATGTCGGTCCATAAATCCTGGTTATTCGCAACTTTTTTTCCACCTTTGATTCGCTTGGCGGCTACCGCGATCCCCAGTGAGTTTGCCCAATACATCCGCCCTTGCGAGGTGACCCAGTCCTGAAATACATTACGCATATGGCTCACTTCAGAGGGGCTGAAGGGTGAAGCATCCATGCCAGCATCAACCAAACGCCGAACTCGTGAAGGCAGTTTGCGGTCCAAAACGTATTGGAAAAGGTTGCGCCGAAATGATTGAAGAATATAAATGGCCGTCTGCTGGCTAAGGAAACCACCAGACGCGTCGTGCCCTGCCACGTTAAGATGCTCCGTTCGGTCGTGATGGTCGCTCTCTGGCCATCCCTCATTGCGGGGGTTCCCACTAGTTTTGATGCTGACATTCCGGCATCCCACGTATTTGCACCCAAGGACGACTCACCGGTTTCTGATGACCTTAGCATTTGTCAGAAAAAACTGGGCCGGTGCTGAAGGTCACTCTCCCCCGGCTCCTTGCTATATGTGCTATATGTGCTATATGGGTCTCACAAGGCAACCCACAGAGCTGTATACTATACACATAGCGTCTCAACATGTACCAAATATGCATTGTGTAGCACATATAGTGTATTTAACGCGCGTCTGGATAGCATATAGTACATATAGGACATATAGCAAGGAGCCCGGAGAGTGTGGGGGTTCAGCGGGTTGGCGTGTAAGAGCCATATAGCACATATAGCACATATAGCAAGGAGCCGGGGGACTGCAGTTGCTGCCTTGTTTTTCCCTAACGTTGGCATTCCGCTTGGATTTGCAATCTTGATTTTTTCGGTTCTCTGGGCGGCCCTGACGGTCTGTGCTGTCTTGCCAGCGGCCCCATTACGCCAGCCCATGCGCCCTATCCCTCCTTGGTTTCTTCGTTCTTCTTTAATGATTTTCCAGGCCATTGTCAAGATTGAGAAGAAAGCGACTGGTTTCTGTGAATATTGATAAGACTGCTCTTGTTAAGCCGGACAGGCGCCCAGAAATATCTGGTGATAGACGGCTCCTCCGTTCCGGAACGTCAATCTCCGTCCTGGGCTTTGGACATGGCTCCAAAGCCAGTGTGTTCCCTTGCTTCCAAGGCAACACAGTATTATTTTGCGTAGGTGCACCGCGTGCCCTAGAAGCAGTGCACTTTCCACAAACCCGGTTAAAAAGGAATGCGCGTTTTTCTTGCTTCGTGGGTTCTTTTTTGGAGCAAACGTTGTAGTCACCATGATGGCATTTCACAAACGATGCTTCTATAGCTTGTGGTCTCACGACCGTCGTTGTTTTGCGTTTGGTTTCGCACAGAGTTGCGGTCGTTGGCGTGTGAACCCACATGCAATGGCAAGCTACGCGTGGTGCCACCACACTTTGCGATCCACCCTGCAGGTTGCGTCTTGTGGCCGGATTGCTGCCAAACACCTTTGTGTTTTCTGAGCCTTCCCAAAAGCCCGACAAGAGGAAACACAGCTTTCGCATTCATTATGTCAGTGCAGCACGAGTCGTTTCAACAACTATGGCCAAATGACATGGCCAAGAAGGAATTTCAAGTCCAGACGATTGACATTCTGTTTTCCGCAAGGCAGCGGTTGACAACCCGTTGGCATGGTGCATGTCAAAGCACGCACAATGTTTCAAACAACAAAGCAACATGACACCAGGCTTGATTTGGAGCTGTGGCAAGACGTGCACCTGGCCAGCAGCCCTCGGTTTCAAGTGCCGTTCACAACTGCATTTGAAAGGAACACGTGTGGACATTTGGTGGGGACAAGGCAATGCGGGATTGCCATGAAGTGTGAATCAACATGGGCACATATAAATCGGCAGCGCGCATGTTGGCTGCCGGTTTCGTATCGGCATATTGACATTTGATATATATATATATATATATAAAGTATAAACTTGCCAAGTTTTCGGCATTCTGTTTTCAAGTCAGGTTTTCGTGTCGGTTGGTCTGCATTTTGAGTTCAGTCCACATTTTGTATTTGTTGTTGGGATGGCGTTGCATGCCGTCTGGTTGCTTGGCGAGAGGCGAATTGGTGATGACATACTTTGCTGAAGTAGCGTTTGATTGAACACCCACGCACACACACACACACAGACACACACACACACACACACACACGCAGAAGCGGACACGTTGTCAGACACACAAGCCATGATTGCGTTGCTGTAAAATTATTGCACAGGCAAGGGACATTTTTGCAACTCTTGAAACACATTTGGATGGCCTTCTTTGATTCATTGGTTGTTCATGCCAAAGCAATTGACGGTGAATCCATGTGCGTGCTTGTGGCTTCCTTTTACTGAATACAGGCTTAACCTGTCTCACCCGAGCCTTCGTTTGCATCAAATTGTCACAACTTCAATATGCCTAGCTTGTGTATTCCGCACCCATTGCAGCAATCTCCTGCACAAACACTTCACCACACCATTTGGGCACTGGAACCACACCACCCTACCACCTTACCACCCTACCACCCTATCACCATTACCACCTTACCACTTCACGCCTCACCACCTCACTGCCTCAGTTGTGAAACAAGATCAACCCTTTGCCTTTTACGCACTGTTGGGCACGACCTGATTGTGCTGGTCATCATGGCGGCTCCTGATAGCCTCCAGCCTAGCTCGTGACGCGGAGCTTGTAGCATTGTAGCGTTTGCATATTTGTCCCATGCAGGCGGCTCTGCTATGGAGGCCCTACAAAAAGATTACCAGGACAAGAGATATTGCGATTGACATTTGCAGTGCCTTGCCTCCACAAACATGATGTTGCTTTCTTCCCAGGATACAGTCATTGAACTGACTGGCAAGAAGAAAGAGATCGTCGAGCCCAAGACGTAGTTTCAACTGGTTCATGTTCAGAGTTCCACAATTGCTATGGCACGAGAATAAATACGTATTCATGCCTTTGGGTGCTGAGTCCGTTTCGACTTGAATATGAGAAGCTGTACAAGGCCTTTGCCGCAGACATGCCGTCAAATGTAAGAAACCAAATACATGTCACGATGCTTGTCAGGCTTTGATGCGTTCCCATGAAGCTGAAAAGCCGGGAGCTCAGGGGCAAGACGCCGAATGTTCTGGGGCGGGACTCCAAGAACTGCTTTTAAGGCGCCTGACCAAAAAGATCAGGGACCTAAACTCCGAGATTAGCACCAGCGCTGGTGACTAAGAATAGTCGCATGCTGCTTTCAGCGAACTGTAGACTTTGCAGAGTGAGGCGCAGAATGTTCAGACAGCATTGAAAACTGCTGCAGAAGATCAGCAGCAAATCGCAACTCTGCGGCAGGTGCCTTAGAACTGGGCGGATTTGCAGAATTATTTGATGATGACCCGGGTGGTGATGATGATGATGCTGATGATGAGCAGGAGGAGGACGATGATGCTGAGGATGCTTGAGGAGGAGGAGGACGATGATGCTGAGGATGGTTGAGGATGATGCGGATAAGGACGATGAGGACGAAGACGACGACGATGATAAGGATGATGATGTTTTGATCATGATGATGATGGGTTGGTAGGGGATCATGATCAGGATGAGGAAGGAAAGTCATAAAGACAAGTGACATTGCAGTAGAAGTCAAGGAGCATGTTTGGTGCATTTCTTGGAGCATGGTCTAGGCAAGAAATTGATGCAAAGCAGAAGCTGATGGAAGAGACCACTAGGAAAGAGGAGCAGGCTGATGCGAGTCAGACAAACACTTGCAGGCGGTACTTTACGGAAGCTTGTTGCTTCTTGAACCAGGATCGCAGATGACATTCCTTTTCTAAATCTGGGCACGAGATGCTAAAGCAGTGCTTCTAGCGTCATTTATTGCGCGCTTGCCAGGCAAAAGAAACCATCAGCAAGAGAAAGGCTGAAATTGAGGATCTTGTGGGCAGGCTCGAAGCATGGTTGACGAATGCTAGCAATGCAGGATGTTTCACTGAGAAATCAGTGGGCAGGGTGGAGGTTGTAGTACCTGGTAGGACGTTTGCTCGAAATGCACGCAAGCGTGTGCACGGCAGGATAGAGCAAGGTGCAGGGATGTCGGAAGAGCAGGAATTCCAGCATGACACTCAGATGTCGGCACATGAGATGTCATCGGTCAGGAATTGTTTGGAGTCGGCATTTGCAACTTTCCTGACTTTGCTAGCAGGCTTGTGCTAGGAGGCTTGTGCACGTAAGCAGCGCCCGGCCAACAATTTCAACTATGTGATACGTTCAGGTTGAACCAGCTCATTGGCCAGAAGGCTTGTAGTGTTTGCAGTTGTGTTGCAATCCAGACATGAAGGCATTTACCTGCAGGAACAGCTCGAGAAGGATTGCGACCTTCTCAAACAGAACACAGAGATGCTCCAGAGGCTTTTGCTATTGCTTTGTCACTTGAGACTCACGGAGAGAACGAGATGCAGCTCAAGACTGCTGGAGGATAACGCAAGGCCGTCTGGAGGAAGTTCAGCGATTGGAGAAGGATCTGGCAGATGCAGAGGCAAACCGGAGTCTCTTTGGTCGATGCAAGATGATGTCAAGTGACTGGATTGATGTTTGGCATCGGCACTAGGCTCAAATCCTGCTGATGAAAGAGAAGATCGCTGAAAAGCGTGGAGAGGACGGCTGGTGTTGGATGAAGCTGGATTTCAGTAGCAACAGATGATGGCATGACATGCAAATTGTGAACAAACAACAGCGCACCTCGTGCCTGCCGTGCCCAGGTTGAAGTGGCAAAGAGGCAGAAGGAAGAACTTGAGCAGAAGATGAAGGACGATCATCTGCAGTTTATCACGACAGTCATGTATTATCATTTGACATGACACAGCTGTACCTATTTCTCATGAAGTATTTTTTTGCCAGCGCTGCAGGATTTGCGAGAAGAGAACGACCAGAAGCAGGAGGAACTTGCTGCAGCCAGAAGGCACGGTAGCCCAGCGCGCTTGTCATGACAGTAGATGCTTTGCGCCAGGAACATTGCACAAGAGCAGGCGGAATTGCGCAAGATCCAGCAGGTGCACTGAGTTACCAAAATGATTACATGCCACATCTAGAAGAAGTGCCGTGTTTGCAAAAGCACACGGAAGCATCATTTTTCCTTCGTGCGAGGCTGTCGCAGATACTGACAAAGAAGAAGAGCGCCTTGAGAGGTCCGGGTGCACGGTACAGTCGGCTGAACATGTTTGCCTGAGGAGGGTTCTGTGGATGGCGTGCAAATGTGCCTCATGCTGTTGGGGGTATCACCAGAGCTTATTTAATGCCATTTGTGAAAGCCCAGTCCTGGGAGTTTGCAGCACAGTCACCACTTAGATTCAGCAGGTCATATCGATACGGCCAGTCCTCCTAGTCATTTGTTGTTACTTTCGTTTGATTGCGAAGTGCTTTGTGAGGCGAGTTCATCAGAGAATGGACGAGAAGCGAAAGTTAGAAGAGAAGTTGGATCAGGCTGGGCAATCAGGTGAAAAGCAGGCTATCGTTGGTGGCTTTTGGGAGCCTCTCCAATTCTTGTATGCCCTTGCTGGTCATCTCTGCGTTAGACGTCAGGAGATTGCGAAGAATCACAAGTACGCACAGGAGAACAAGCGCGGGGCAAACGATGTCCGTCCGCCCAACATGTTGCTGCAACTTGCAATCATAGCTGTACTTAGTGTGAAGTGTGCACAGGAGAGCCAAGATAAAGAACACTTGCTGAAGAACCGGAAGTCCGCCCTGTTCTATGAGTTCTGTTTGCATTGCGCCCAGGCCTTCACCAAACTGCGGTTTGCATTCACAGGGATGAGCTTCAGCGCCATCGGCGTGAGAAGGACCAGGTCATCAAGCTGCACGAGGCGCTCACTCTTCAACATGTCTCGCATGGCTATGGCACCATTCTGGGGTAGGTGCACCACTCATTTTAGTCCATTTTAGTGGGGATTGGGATGTTCACTGGGGGTGCGGGCTTTTGACCCATGGCCACATGTTTCACACTCTCATTGCGGGCTGAGGCGCTCAAAAAGAAGGACAAGCAAGCTGAGGATGAAAGGCAGTCAGCCGAAGGTCCAATTCTCAGCTTTCACCTGGAGCTGTTTGGGGCTTGTGTCTAGGCAAGCGCAATGAACTCAAGAGCGACGTCAAGTCCGGACAGGCCTGCTAGTGGTTGCATGTTAACCACCCATTTGTTTTTTTGCCTCCCTTCTGCCTGCTTTTGCCTTTGCCTTTGCCTTGCCTTCCTGTGCTGCTTGTTGGCTTGCCTTTGATCGCTTCTCAGCTGTCTGGCAAGCTGCTTTCTCAACTTCCTGAAATTGAGGAGACAGCAGAGCATCTCAAGCATGACGCCGACATTGACAGGAAGAAGATCGAGGTCGGCGAACAGCGTTTTGAAAAGCAGACATGTGTTCAAAGTGGGGTCAGGCCACATGCAGAATGCACCGTTACCGAATCGGGAGGACTTGCTGCGTGAGCGCGACATTCTCAATAAGAACGTGGTGAAAGCAGACGAACGTACCAAGAAACAAATTGATATGGTCAAACGACAGGCCGGTGTGATTCTGCGTGATGGCTTTTGTTTTGCTTGGAGTAGCATGCTTTGCACGCGTCAGGAAACGCAGGCCATGAACATGCAGAAAGACATAACAAGATGGAAGCAGGACCTGAGTACATGGGCTGGGAATGCAAACCAGATGTTGGGCTTTTCATACCTCAACCCTGTCCATCACTTGGATAGGATGCACATGATTTTCAAAAGCGCATCATGGAGCTCGAAAAGCAGCGAGAGAAGTACGGGATTGAGCTCTCACAGGCACGTGCAAAGCTGATAAAAGCCGAAAAGAGCGCTGGGTTCGAGTGCAACAGGAGCATAGTTCGGATGCTCACGCTAAGGCCAATGCAAAATACTTCGCGTGCAAGGAAGAGCTCAAGAATCGCCTGGACCATAGTCTTGAGTTTAGTGTCAGGTGAAGTGGCTCAGTGGCAACAGGCACAGGACATGTCCGCATACACACACGCGCACCCACCCACACACACACAGAAACTCCCGAGGGAGAGAGCTAATCTTCGAGTTGGGTCGGGTTCAGCTTGGTAGATTTCGAGTACAAGGCTGAGCTGGCAAAAGTATAGCTTCTCTCTAATGCGACGACGCTAGTTCAGAACAAAAGCACTTACAGCAAGACAACCAGAGGGCCAAAAAGACTTTGCATGACTGCTGCAGGTACACCAGGCTGATCAGGCCTTGCTTGCGCTCCAGTGATGCAGCTTCGTTGGGCAAGGTTCATCACTGGAGACCTTGCCCCCCTGCTGCGGTGAAACTGTTGGTCTCTGGGTTGATCAGAGATTCCGTGCACACACACACGCACATGTATGGGCACAAGTACAGGCACGTGCACACGCACGCGCTCATGCACACGCACATGCGCACGCGCGCTGTTATAATTGCATATGCTTATACCCTCCTCACACACACACATATGCTCACGCATACATATATCACATTTGTATGTATAACTATGTACATATGAATTTTGCATACTGATAGATTATGTTTTTTCATTAGGTTGTGTTACATATTATTAATTTATTGTTCTATATTATCATTGTTGTTGCTATCATCATCATCATCATCATCATCATCATCATCATCATCATCATCATCATCATCATCATCGTCATCGTCATCGTCATCGTCATCGGCATCGTCATCGTCATCATCATCATCATCATCATCACCCTCCCCCTCCTCGCCATCATGATCATCATCACTGTACATATATATATATATATATGTATATGGTCACACCCGCCCATGAACGTTCATGCGCTGGGGGGGGGGGTGAGCAAAGAGATATAATATATATATATATATATACATATACATATATATGCACTTACGCACACGCGCACACACACACACACAATTACAGGCACTCCTTTCCAAGTGGCTGACAACACATGCGAAGTACGGCTTGCAGTTTGCGCGCACGTGTTCTGGGTCCGAGTGGTGACGTTTGTGAAGGCATGATGGCGTGCTGCAAAGGAAGACGTTTGCTGAATGACCACCATGGATGGTGTGCGCACATGGTCAAAGGTCATTGGGTTCCTGCACCGAGGCGGGGCCACCTTGACGGAACTCAAGAAGCAGATAGCAAACGTAGAGGCACTGGCGCCTCAGTGCTTTAGGCACCTTGACGTGTTTGATCACAGGCAAAGCTGAACCAGCAAAAGAACCTCTACGACAATGTTTGCATGGATAGGCGGACATGCTTGCTAGTGACAGTGGCTAGCAGCGTGTTGCACTGGGCAGCGTGCAGGAACATGCAAGCAAAGAGCCTGGTAGAATCAAATGAAGAGATTGCAGCACCTTGGATCGCAGCCAGAACTTTTGCAATGTGTTTGTAAAACCAAGCATGAACCAGGTAGGCTGCAGCGGCCATCAACAAGACATGTGTTCATAACCAGTCTCTGGTTTTTGTAGCGGCCTATTGAATGCGCCAATGAAATTCACCTGGGGCTCAAGACATCAAGTCGTGTTGGTTGCAAAGCCGTGGGACAGCATCTAAGAGTGCACCACAGTTTTGGCACAAGCAGTACACATACTTTCGGAAGCTTGTGGAAGTTTGTTTGGGGCTCCTCTGCAGGTCCTCACATTGCTTGTTTGGCCATCAGCCGCCCCAACATTTGGCATAGTGCCTTCATGGTTGCATTCTTAGCGTTGTGTGTAGGCGACCCATATATGTCTTCAGCCCCATCTTGCTAACTGTCAGGAAATGAACCGGAAGTTCAGGATAATGTCTTGCCGACAGGTATTGTGTATGTTTTTTACACTTTGTAGGGGTGCTGGTACGGGTTGATCATGTTCGCGCAGTTGCCAGATCCCATCAGACCACCGCGCTCAAGGAGGAGCTTCGCGAAAAGGCCCGGACAAAGTGAAAGAATCAAGATGCATGCTTTCTCCTGTAAGGATTCGTACTAAACTCCGCCATGTCGTAATATGCTGCATTTCTTTCAGCCTGCACTTGTTGGCGAGCGCTGAATAAAGTCATACTCCCTGATCTTCTGCCTGAGGACAGCAGGTTGGTCCGAGGCCACTTCGATCACAAGGAGGCCTGCCATTTTAACACGGAATGCATCGTGAGCGGTCACGAATCCCAGTGCTGTTCCTATCAGCGGAGTCATCCTCATTCTTTTGATACTTTTCGCTCAAACTGTCCGGCGGCCTGGTTGGCACGTAGCTTCTTTTAGGCAGAAGCTGGCTTGTCAAATTGCGCGCGGCCAGCTACTGAAGCACAACGACAAGCTGAAAGATGCCAAGGAGCGGGCGCAAAGAAGGCGCCGCGGCTCGCACGTTGCAGAGATTTCGGGTTCTGAAGCACAGCTTCGTAGGCCGTGTGTCCAGTGTATTGATGTCTTTCAGTCGAGGGCTTTCAATATACCAGCAATGGCTCTGCCAATCAGTGCCTAATCTCAAGTTAAGTATTGGGAGGATTGCTTCATCAAGGTCTACACTGATATCGTTTGATGCAGCGCCTTTGCTTTGTCTATAGGTTTCTCCACTAGCGTGCAAGTTGTGGCCCGTCAGTTTGAATTTGCCTTCATAGGTAGCTCAGAAACTGAAGGAGCTTGGCCTTGGCAACAACAGGAATAACCGATGCTAAGACTCTGTGAGGCGGATTGATTGTGCGTGGGTGCTGCAAAGCGCAAGGGACTGAAACGGCATGTTTGCATTTTGCGCTCGCCAGCGAGGTTACAACAACCAAGAGCTCCTCTTTCTTATTGCTTGCAACACTGACCGGTATCACAATTTGACAACGCATCTCAGTGCAGCGGGCTGCAAAGCTTCATTGGGTTGGTTGAGCAGCTGCCGTGCGATGACAAATTATTTTCCCAAGACGCTACTTGTGGCTCTTCTTACTTTACTAATACGAACAACAGCTATATCATCGTGGTTTGATAAATGACAGAACTTGTTGGCAATCCGAAGTTGCGCCTCATTCACACAGACATCCTGAAAGAGAAAGTCGGCTCTTTTCTGCCAGGACAAATAGAGTAATATGTGCCGCATGCATTTGTCTGATCGCAAGAGCATTTGTGCAGGCTCAAAAGTCTGAACAACATCGTGGAAACCCAGTGCATGCCTCAGGTGTGCATGTGTGCAAGTACGGCCCAATCTGCCAAGGCCAAAGTCACTTGGGAAGTTGTCAGTCTGGTTCACTTAGGAGAGCCCAGCTCAAGAAGCTGGAAAGCACCATTCAGGAAGCTGAGCAAGAACGGCAAGCGCAGCTCAAGGCACGGAGCTCACCGAAAGCAACGCAACGGTGTCATGGTCGAGGAGCTCGAGGGAGTTGTGGGCGAGCGTGACATTCTTGGTGCACAGCTCATTCGGCGGAATGAGGCCAGGGGACGTCTTTTCCGTGACGAGATGTAAACTCTGGCACCGCAAAGCACAGCAGTCGCTGCGAGGAGCTTGCGCTTCTCTACGAGAAAATCAAGATCCAACAGAGCACGTTGCAGAAGGGCGAAATACAGTGACCTAGAGGGAGCGGCTGTTGTGTTTGACATTTGCTTCTGTAGAAGTGCCCGAGGGCTGATTAATATATATATATATATAAATGATATAGTGGCTGAAGACCATGGTGCAAAGTGTGATGCGCAGGTATGAGGAAAGATTGAAGGAAGTTGGCAAGCTTCGGGCACAGATTCGTGCTTGCAAGGCAGGTACAAGCATGCTTGACATGATGTTGAATTGTGACAATGCAAAGCGCTTGTTCAGATTCAGGCTGAATTCTGCGAATTGTGACATGTGGGAAGCGTGGTTCATGCTTGATGCTAGCCAACTGAGCCACAATCAAAACCTAGATAGATGAAGGTTAGTAAGGGGCAGTCCCAGCCAGAAATAGTTGCGGCCGCCTTCTTAATTGTTTACCTGGCTCTGGGTAGACCATTTTGATACCCGGTTTTGATTGTGACTCAACTGTGTTTTATTTTCTTGAATGACAGGCTGAAGTGTCGCAAGCCAAGCTCCAGGCCTTGCCGTTCAGATCGGGCCACTGCAGCCAGAAATGTTGGAGAAGCAGTTAAAACGCCACCGGGGCATGCTCTTGGCGCCCAGCAACACATTTGTCCGTCTGGCATTCAGGTAACGAATGTGGAAGGCCTGAAGCAGGAAATTCACTTCCTGAACAAGACTCTTCTGAGAGAGGACGCTGCCGCTGTCACTCATGCCAGGCATCGCTCTGCGGTCACTCATGCGTCCACCAGAACAAGCGAATTAGATCGGCAGGAGACAAAGGCCAAGGCATTGCAGGAAGAGCTGGAGAACCCCATGAACGTGCATCGCTGGAGAGAATTGGAGGCCTGGCTAGACCAGAATGCCTTGCGAAGGCAAGAACTCCAGTGATGAAAGAGCCTTCTTGACGTTCTTCTGGTGGCAGTGTGGGCTGGAGCTGCAAGTTTCCCTGGCCAGTCCTCTGATCCTGCTACCTACCAGATGATTCAGAAGGCCGGGTGTGCAAGCGTTGTCCAGCCGCGCTGCCCCGCTTCTGTTCGCTGCATTGTACAATGCTGAGCCAGTTGTCTTTGCAGGTCAAGTCCTTGCAGAAGCTTCTGATTGCGAAGACTGAGGAGGCCACCTTGCCTCGTGGCTTGCCAAGTCCAGTTGATGCACATGACGCAACAGGTCGTCGAGAAGGACGCCCTCATTCAGGAAAAAGAGAAGCTGTATGTTCAGCTCAAGAACATCATTGCAAGGCTTGTGTCGACGCTCATTTGGTTGCCTGAGCACATGGGTTTGGATTCTTTCGAAGTATCTGACGCATTGTTTCTCGCTGCTGAGTTACCCTTCTACCAGTTTTGTATAAGCTTCAGGCAGCCTGGGCCGGAGGTCGCAGAGCAGCTTGCCTGGTGCGCCCCATGCATCGCCTTGCATGGCAACTTGAGTGCCCTACCCTCTCAGCGAACGACAACGTGCTATGCCAGCTTTCCAAAGCAGGTCAAAGGACTGCAATCCAATAGGCACCTCCTTCCAAGGGGAGGACGGAGGACAATCCAAGCTGGCAAGTGGATCGAACCGGTCACAGATGCGATAGCACACACCGACGCGGATGACAAAACAATCGATGGCAATTCCAATAACAAGTGATGAGACGGTGCTTGCGTTTGGACACTCCTACTCTGTGATTCACTGCCTGATGCTGAAAAGGCACTGGGCAAAGTTTCCATGCGCCGTGAGGTACAGTCAGAACTTGAAGGAAAAAACGGGCCACATGAAGCAGATGTCTGCTGAGCTGGAGATGTACCACAATCAGGCGGGGGCTTGGCTTAGTGTCCTTACCGTTTCTGCAACTGGAAGTTCTGAGCTTTGGTGGAAGGTCCAAGACCTCAAAGAGGAAATCGACCGCCACAACAAGGCGGGGCAGTTTGGCTTAGCCCGGAGTCAAGCTCTTTGCCTCTCGGTGTGTGCAGGACTTTCAAGGGACAAAGCAGGTGGATCGGCATTGTTTTCAGTTGCTCAGTTGTATCTTTTTGTGCAAGTAGACAAGCAGCCTGCAAGGCCTATTTCCAGATGCTGCGCAGCCAGCTCAAGAGCCAGTCCCAGAGTGCCTCGCAAGAGGCAGGTGCCGACGGAGCCAGGAGCTCCAGACTTTTGGTTTTGGCGGCGAATTCTTCGCCAGGCCTATGGTGGCTGAGATGTTTCTACCAGTTCACTGCAGCAAAGCGGTGGAATGCAGTGCATATGGATTGTTTCACAGTCTCACGCTGAAGTGTACCCCGCCGGTCAAAGCAGCCTTGGTGTTTCGAACTCAGGTTCACCTGGGTTGCTCTGTACAAACGTAGCGTTAAGGATGGTGACTGAGCCACTAGATGTCAATCGTAGTCTACTGTTCAATACTTGATCTTGATTTGTGGCCAGGTTGCCAAGTCCAGAGCTGGTGAGGGCAATACACGGCAGAAGAAACCATTGCACAGGGAACGAAGCACATGTGCTAGTGATCGAAGGCCTGCTCTCAGACCGCTAAAATGATTTCAGCATTCCTTCGGCGACAAGCTTTGCGTCCTGGTTCAGCAGAATGCCAGAATGTAACAAGCAACGCCATGTCAGCAAACGTTTTCATAGGTGCCTAGCATATATCATAGATGCCCTTCGCAGGAAATCTGGCCATTGCCATGGCGAGAGATTGGCAGCAGGATTCAGGGATGCCCGGCGCTCTCAGGCGGGGTGTGCCGTCATGCCTGAAGGGACCCAGCTTTGAGGATGAGGAGATCAAGTGTGTTAAGTGGCACTCTTTAGGCACACCTGTAAAGAATTCCCTGCTATAGCCTTCCACTGTTGCACTTCATCATTTTCGTTTGTTTTTATATATGATGCTGTGGTGCTGCAACTTGCCATGGCTAGAGTGCTTGACATTGGCCTTTCGACTGTGCTTCCGCAGTCATCGCTTCAGTTCATGTAGTCCGGTGTTTTTCCTCGCGCTTCGACTGCGCAAATTTTCGCATGGCACTCAATTGGGTGTTATTCGGGCTTCTCCTGGCTGCCGTGGAGAGTGTGGATAAGCCAGATGGGTGCTCGGATTCGATCTGGACTACCCAATGCCAAGGCAGTGCAACATGTCAATCCCTCGCAAATGCTGGCTTGACGTGCTCCTCAATGGACTCACTCGGCACTTGCAGTACAACATGTGCCGAGCCTTGCTGCATTACAACCACTAGCACCACCTTCACGGTCACATTCACAAGCACTCTGACGACCATAACAAGCACCCAAACTAGTACAGAAACTACAACCTCAATCAGCACCACCTCCCAGACAACCTCAATCACATCAAGTACTAGCGAAACAACCACCACGGCAACGCACACACAGACTCACACCACAGCGACCTTGACAGAGACACACACTGAGACCACCACAAACACAGAGCCTACAGAGACAGTCACCATGACAAGCACAGTTACAACAATTACCGAGACAGCAACCTCCATAACGGCGACAACGCTGGCACCAACGACAACGCAGGGGCCAGCAGCAGTGATCAAGATGGTCTTGGATGTGACTGTCACGGGAAACTCCCAGGACTACTTGGTGGACTCCAGAGTGGAGCAAGCATACAAGGACGTGATGGTGGACATCACGGAACTTGATCCCAGTATGATTGACGTGGACTTGGCGGCCGACCAAGGTGACAACATCACAGTCACCTACGCCATCACGATGCCCTATGAGGACAATGGAGATGGCCTGGTCCCAACGGTTCCCCTTGACAGTGTGGAAGCCAAGCTTGCAGCAGTCAGTGCAGCTAGCTTCAACGAGATGTTGGATGCGAAGATTACAGCAGCCACTGGCGAAGGCACCTACGGCCAGGAGATCATCAAGTTAGAGGAAAAGGATCCAACGAACGTGGTCAGTGGAGTCACCAGTGCGTTCTCCTTGGCACGTATTCTGGTGCTCTATGTGGCGCTGCACTGCATCAACGTCTCCTGAATGCTGGGATAATCCGTTAAACGCAGTGTGCGGTGCTACCATGGCACAATGGACATTGCTATGTAACCAAGAGATCCTATGGATCGGAATGCCTTAGAGTTTTCGATCCAGATCGCTTTTGGGTCCTAACGGCGCCGCAGAGCTCAATGCTCTTGGCAAGGTTCTTGCGCCCGGACTTTACAGTAAAGTTCTTGCATGCTATCTCCACTTCAAGAGGTGGTGGCGCATGGGCACTCTCCTCGCCACACGAAGGCTGTCGGGGAGGAGAAGACACGACTCATGGCATGGTTTGAGAAAAACAAAGACAAAACACATCAAGATTTCTTTGCTGGAACTTCAGCTCATTGCGGCATTTGATGTTGCCCCCCCCCGCCCCGGCACGGGACGGGCGATCTTCTCTTGACTGCTGCAGGCCGCGGATCCAGGCACACTTGTGCACTGATGTGGGCTGACGAGGCGATTCACGCGATGAAAGGGCACTTCACGGGCTTTTCGTGCTTGACTCAAGCAGGAGGTGCTTGATTTCATGCGAGTGTTTGGACTGAAGAAGCTTTCGAAAGTCTCGTAGCAGAAGACATTGCGCGCTGCAAATGGTTATGCGAGCAAGTTGCAATGCGCATTCGAAGCGTCAGATTGGTTGGGGAACGCTTTGGCCAGAGAGAGGTCTCGTTCTTGCCTGCGCCAAGCAATTGGATTGCGGTCGTGGCTTACTATCCAGCAGAGGGTTTGGTATCCAGTAGCATCGGTTGTTGAGCACATAAGGATTCTTTAGCCACTTCAACCATCAGCTGAGCTTCAACATGTATATTTCATTTGCTTCTCATCTTTCACCAGTCTTGCAGAGGCAGCCCGTTGACATCGATGACCTGTTAGCACAGAAGTGGCTCTGATTGAAAGGGGCAGCCAAGATCATGGCCGGGGATCCCTTGATGGATGGCCAAGGCCGGTGAGCTTCGGCATTAGCTTCGGCGCTGTGAGCAAGCTGTGTTCAGCACAATCCTGCGCTAGGTTCAGAAAAGGCTTTGCCGATTCCGGAGAGAGGCCTGACATGAGAGAGAAACGGAGATATCCCGAAAAGGAAAGTTAACTTTCTGACCTTAAGCATGTGCTGAAGTGCCCGTGCCATTACACAGCTTTCTCTGGATGCTTTCTTGGCACTCCCAAGGCTGCAAGAGCAAGGATGCTCATGGCTGCTCAGCGGAAAGTGTGCGGTGATGTGACGGGCTGACGGGCAGACGGGCTGCTCTCAGGTGGCTGCTGCAAGCCAAAGAAGAAGTGCCACGGCTCCAAAGGCGCTTGCCTCCTTGTGCCGTGTGCAGGCTATCAAGCCGCATGCAGGCTACAGCAGCATTCGCAAACCGGTCCTTGCGCTCTGCAAGGCAAGAGCTTTTGGACACGAGCATGAGACAGGGTCGGAACTTTCCACTGAGGAAACGATGCATAAGGCCTCAGTGACTTTTGCTGCACGGTTGGAGGTGACCAATGCTGCGGCAGCAAACCAAATCTCGAACAGCCTCAAGGCAGGGACCTTGAGGAAGGCCAGAGAGACACAGAGCTCTTCTGTTGGTCTTTATGATTCTTTCATGTTCATTTTTTTCCTTTATCTTTCTGCTAATTTATCTATTTTCAGAATGAGCCTTATCGTATTGTGCAACAGCATGGATATTGAGGCGGCTCTACTGGAAGCAGAGCGGCTTAACGAGCCCGTCGATGGTGGACTGCTTGGTATGGCGGCAGCACAGGCGCGAGCTCGCAGACAAAGCCGTGAAACCTGAAACATAGAAGGCAATGGACTCGCCCAGTGGATATTGGTGCGTGGGGAGGTTTGGGAATGACATTCACGCTTGCAATCTTACTATGTCTGCGTCAAGGTTCTGATTTGAATTACTTTGAAAAACAAGGTTTGAGGTCTTTCATGGCTACAAAAACTGTATATCATTGGTGACAAATGAAAGTTGAAAGTGATATAGAGGAAGTTCTATCATGCTTTGCCCGTGCACCTTCCCTTTTTGTTTTTGAGTACAGGGGTGGGTGGATTAGGAGTGAGGCTTGGCACACTTTGAAGACCAATACTTCCCGCACGAAATCTAAAGCCGAAGCCCTGGAGTGCGCATTGCGCACGTTCAGGCTGGACGGCTCGGTCTGAAGGACTTGCTGGGCACACTTTGCGTCGGGGCCCTTGTGGGTTGACACGGGCGCGCGGAGTCCGCGCGGAACCTTTGGCACACTTCACGCTTGGCTTTCCACAGGCGTACTCATGGCCTCGGCTGTTTGAATGCGGCGGGCGCGAGGTCTGGACTGGTGGCCTAACTGCCCTTTTGATTCTCTCCCGTTCGCAGGTGGCAGAGTTGGCTGCAGCTGCTAGCAAGTGTGGCTGTAGCGATGAAAGGCGCCCCGTCTCATTGCTCTCACCGCAAGCTTTGCCAGGAGGCAGTACTTTCAGATACTTTTGTTGGGGCTTTGGTAGCATTCGCGTGCATTGCTTATGAGCTGCTTTGCCCGACTTTGCAGGTTCTTCTGCTTTGTGGGCGCATACTGCTGCCAGAAAGCCAACTCCTTCACCTGCCTGAGGGAGAGCTGACGAGCATGATTTGCCGCTTGCCACACGTTGTCAACCCCTACACCTTCAGGACGTTGCTTTGGTATCGGCGGCTCTGACCCGAAAGTTAGACTCCGAGGCATGGCATGGCACGGCATGGTATGGCACGGCATGGCATGGCATGCAGGTAGACCTCGCTGGTGCTTTCCACGGTCTTTCTTTCGTTACGCCAATCCCTGAGAGAATGTGCCGCTGGGAAGTTGACAGACGCAACATTACAGTCTTTCCCACATTTCTAGGCTGCAACACTTGCACGGCACCACCACTGCGCCAATTCGTGACGTTGCGGAGTTCTTCTACTCTCTGGTGAACGTGTGGCAAGCTTGGTGAGACTGACGTTACTTTTGCTTGGTATTTAGTCTTTTTGGCTTGCCAATCAAGGCTTGGCATGTCGAACGGTTCTGGCCTTGCACTTTGCGCCAATCTCTCAGCGCAAGATTCGCTAAGGGTCATCGGATAAGAGCAACAGAAAACGCGGACCGCCTTAGTTGGCAACTTAGGCTGCATCGGTCACCCGAGACGTGATTGTTGCAATCGCAGATGTGGTGCTTGGCTCAGAAGTTCTGGTCCGAAATCTATGGAGTTTTTTCAGAGCCACTCACTCAGCAGCTCTTGGAGCTTCCTGGCAATTCCAAGGTTCGTCCACAGCTGCACATGGCTAGTGCTCAAGACATTGCAAAGGCCCGGCCACGCATCAGAAACGCCAGTGCTAGGTAATAGTCCAGACAGTACGTACATTGGGACTATCAAAAAGACATTTTTTCAGCAATGTCTTCGTCCTTCGTTCGGTCTTATATTTTGAAGCTCTTTTTCGTTGGTCCTTTGGTGGAAAGTGTGGTTGGTTGGTTGGTTGGCTGGCTGGCTGCCTGCCTACCTGCCTGCCTGGCATGCAGCATCACTTTTGCGAGCATCATGGGGGGGGCTGCTGCACCCCCAACCCCCCCCCCCCGGCTGCTTTTTGGTTTTTTCCCCCACCCCAAGCCAACCCTCAAACCCACCCCAAACCAACCCAAGAATAAAACTAGACAAACCCTTTACTAACCATCACGACTAAACCACCAGTCCTCCCACCCTCAGCTAACCATTTACAAACCCGAAGCACACCCTGCACAGTGACGGTGCAAAACAAGTGTGTGTTGCTTGCAAATGCACTGATTTATTTGTTTTGTCTTGGTGGGGTGGCGGGGGGCTGCTCCCAGAAACCCGTCCTAACGACCCTCTGCCACCCTGAACCTACAACTCGCCCGAAACGCACCCTAAACCACCAACACCTGTCCAAAACCCACCGCAAGCTCACCCTAAAGCAGCCCTAAACTCCCACAGACCCTCACCTGAACCTCCCCTGAACTGCCTAAAGCCGACCCTAAACTTGAGCAAAACACCCACACCAGCCATCCTGTAATCCCCTTGTCCCAAGGACCCTTAGTCCTTTGGTCCTTTGGTCCCATCTCGTCCCTCTTCTTTTTGTTCCCGTTTTTTTGGGTCCTTCAGTCCCCTCCAATAAGGCCCTTTCCAATAAGTTCCTTTCCCTTGCTTAGTCATTGAATCATTGCCCTACCTTCGCTCCCTTGGCTTTCGGTGGTATCCTTGTCCCCTCTCGTGTCCCTTTCGTCCTTTCGTCTTTTCGTCCGCCTCTCTGGCTCTTGCGAAACACCCTGTTCACCTGGCCGCTTAGTGAATATTTTGCTTTTGATTGCCAACAAAGTGTTTTTCTTGGTTGCTATTTCTTTTTGATTGTTAAATCAGTTTTTTTCTTTTGATACCCTACCCACGTACAAGTGTCTCTGCATGCTCAGACTACGGGCGCTGCTGCCGTTGCTTGGGGGCTTCTGCCACAATTGCAGGCGCTGGAGCAACTTGGCGCGTTTGGAGTCAGTCCACTGATATCCGTCGGTCGGCAGCTTTGTGCATTGTCAGTGTTTGGGGCAGGAAAAAACAATGCTGCCCTTGCTGATGGAGCTGGCGCAGGTGGGATGCAAGATGTCACTAATGTTATTGGCTGGAGCTCATGCTTTGTAGGCAGTCCGCTTCCGCCATGCTGACTTCAACGTCCAGGCGCTCCCGGCTTGAATTGCAGAGGTGCGCTGTTGACTTGCTGCAGGACTTGGCACACCTTTGCGCAGCCTTTGCAAAGGCAAGTTCCGGGCCTTTATTGCCACGTCTATCAGAGCGAGCATTAGAGTGAGAGCTTAGCCCCACGCGTTGGATGAGCATGTGGAACCCTCTATCGCACGCCTCTCCACACTGATGAGTGAGCACCGACAGGTGGACACGCTTTCCAGCTGCACATCGCTTCCGGTTCTACTAGACAAGGCACACTCTTTTTGAGACTGGCATGGACTATCGGACCCTATGTGCGTTTGCAGGAGGATTCCTCTAATGCAAGTGCTGCTTTTGGGTTTATCTTGTGCTCCCTCGTTCTCCGCTTTGGGGCTTTTGATCTCTTGCGAATGTTGGCCAGGTTCTGGGCAAGCTTGCCGACTTCTCCGCGAAGGAGCGGAGTGGCTTCCAGCTGTGCCAGTGAGCTTGCGTAGCTCACTGACTGATCTCGCTGGTTGTAATCTAGGACCTGAGCCTGGTTTTGTGGGCGGCCACGCGCCCGAAGCCAAGCACACCGAGACGTGTAATGCACTCCCCAGCTTTCCCTGAGTTTCGCCTGAGTTTCTGCCTCTGCTGGGCCTTTTCTCCAGGACATGGTTACATTGGGGAGAGGTGCGCGGCACAAGCCACCCAGGAGGCTGGGCCAGGGCTGTGGCCTTTTCGCGGCCGCAAAGCGCGAGTCACGACATCGCAGGTGATGAAGCGAGACCTGTCGAGCTTCTCCACACAGGCCAGTCACTGGGTGATTGCCGGACTGTCGCACTGCCGAGCTGTGAGATATGCCACTGGGCCTTGAGGACCTCTGCATGACTGCCCAGTGTTTGGCAAAGTTGGGTGCCCGCGGCAAGGCGTGGCGAGCTTGTGAGCTTGCTGTCAAGGGAACATGGCCGGTGCAAGCCGAAGCTAGAACATCTGCTTGCTAAAAGGCCAACGGCAGCTGCAGCCTTTCGGCTCCAGTCTCCAATTTAACAAAGCCGACGTTCATACTCTTCTGCCAAAGACCCTTCTCGCGGCTGATTTCTTCGTCCGAAGCACCATGGCAACGAGAACTCTGTCAGCATCTCAGCAAGGAAGAGCTGAGCCCGGAATGAGAGAGGTCAGGGCACTTTGCTGTGGTTCAACTCACGAAGCAAGCCCGGCTTGCCTTTCCCCGAGTTGCGTGCCGTGCTCGAGGCCTTTGCTCATCACCCTCGCATTTGTCACCTCCAACGCGCACAGCTTCCTGGATTCAAATGAGGTCACAGAGAACGAGGCAGAGCCATCCAGAGCCATAGAGAGCCATGCGGAGCCATGCGGAGCCAATTGCGAGAGAAAGCCAGGTCCAGCAAAGCCTGCTGGATAACATTGACACCAACGGGGGCCGAAAGTGGTCCGAGCTCCATGAGGCACAGATAGAGTTTGCATTTCTCTTACTGCATTGATTTTCATTTTGCTTTGATTCAACGCTTTTTTGCCAAGGCGCTGTCCCCCACCTTCAACGCATTGCCAAAGAACTCGCTGCAGCCTTGGGCTTCGAAGCCTTTCACTCGACAAGTGACATGGAAGCAGTTGGATGAGGCAAGGACTGATCGACCACCAGGCTGTTCGCTACGTCCTTCACCGCATGTTTGTGCAAAAGTACGGCTGCCTGACTGCGTTTCCGAAGACTCTGGAAGCCAAGCTGTCGAAGGGGTAGACATTCTATGCGGTCGCCTGAACCAAGGCTGGTACATCAAGGGCTTGGAGCCGAGTGGCGACCACTGGCACGATGAGGCCAAGCCTGAGCTGAAAGTCAAGGACGTAGGAAAACGCAGATGCAGAAGCCTTGGATTTGAGATAAACACTGGATGAGCTGGGTATCATCTCAGCCGAACATAGACAAATTTGACCTTTCCAGGAGTGGGTGCCGACCTTCTTGCAGGACTTGCTTGAGAAGCGCCTTCACCACAAGGCAAAGTCTTGCCACCTGACATGTTTTTTGCCTAGCTTGGGCACTGGCAGGGCTTGGACCTGGATGGTCTGGTTCACTTGGCCATGGCCCTTGAGGCAAGGGCTCTGTGCCAGAGCCGCACACGGGGCTCTGTGGGGGTTGAAGTTTATTCGGTTTGTGTGGCTCCCCCAATGCCGGTTCTGAATCCCAGGCGAAGCACATGCCTTGTAAGACCAACAAGGGAAAGGATGAGTTTTGCTGTCGGAAGTGGACGGCGCAGGAATTGGTGAGCCACGAGGCGCAAAACAGGCTCAAGACGGCCTACCAAATCCACAATCTGCCCTCGAACCTTGGATTGTAAGCTTGGCTGCTTTACTCGCCCTAGTCTTGATCTCACCTTGTGCTTCACGCCTGGTGTTGGTTCAAGAATCTCAGCTGAGGGACCAGGAGTCGTCTCGTGAAGATGCGGATGACATCGTGCGCACCTGGTACGTGGGCTTCTTGCTGGCTGGCAACTTCTCTGCGTCGTCGCCGGATGAAGTTCATTCCAAGAAGGCCGTTTTTGCCAGGACACTCGAACCTTGTGAGTCTTGCTGGCAGAATCCGTAGACACTGGCACACTGCAGGAAGTACTCCGAGCGCAGCTCAGAGAGTGCGTGGTTCTGCTCCGCATGTTGTTGCTCACGTTGCCGGGGTGCTGTTGCGAGATAGCATGGTGCACATTCTCAGCACAAATCAATGAGGATTGGCAAGATGCCGACAAGTGGCTGACAGAGCTGGAGAAAGAGCACTACTCAGGTGGGCTAACATCATTGGGATGCATGACACTGTGAAACTGTTGCAAATGACCCTGGCACACCCCAAAGTCTTAGGGAGTCTGCACGCTTCAGAGCGGTAGATGTTCACTATTGGCATGCTCCATCACGTTGCCTGGACAGACCTGAATGAGCATTCGGGAGCCTGCCGTAATTCCTGACCAAAAGTTGAAATCGAAATCCTTTTGGCGGACCTGACGTTGCAAATTTCGGACATTCGCAGTATGGTCAGCCCTTCGTTTTGAATCCTGACCAGTTTCCCCGACCCCGAACTTCAACTCCAACTTCGGGTTGGTGTCCAAGATCGGGGAGCGGCCATTCGGCAGCACCCTGCGAGCCTGGCGCATCAATGTATTTTTCTATTCCGGCGTGTACCTTATGTGCCTTAGAAGACTTGTGCACGACGCTGCAGTTTGGCTGCGTAAGGTACTTCCGATTTAACGATGGAGAGTGCCGAGCTCTGAAGAACACGATGCAGGACATGGAAGGTGGTGTCCTAAGTTCCATCGTGAAAGGTAACATGTTTTCCCCCCGGAGAGAATCAAGACACTCTGAATTATGGGAGCAATTCAAGACCCTTGTTGGCGGCAAAATTATTTTGCCGTCTATGCTGTGGCAGCATCACTTCCTGAGGCAAAAAGGCTGGACGAGTCCGCTTGTCCACCTTCTACAAGAAGTCCCTGTACAGTCACTG